GGTTTGCGGTTCGTTCTACCTTCGCCATTAATGCTGAACCTGACAATGAACTCACCAAACCGTGTAATATAAGCAGTATTTATAATTCTTATAGATTTCATTCTGAGAATATAATACGTAAGCTATGCAATATTCTACAATATGCAATATACAAATATACAATAATACAATATACAAAATACAAATATAATACAATATGCAATGTTCTACACAAGTATGTTTAATCAGTGTGGGTATTCATATTGTTCGTAATAATATGAATCACATGTATGCCTGAGAGAACAGACAACATACACGGGTTGCCTTCGCTATTTGTTGCATACGCGAACTTGGTCATTATGGACGCAATTTGGGAAGGGTTAAACGGTAAATATATGTCGAAAGTGCTTAACACTGACACAGAAAGTGTGAGCGGTTGCATGTCATGGAACCGCAAGTGAAAAGAGCTATCACTTCCGATTATGACGTCATCCAGAACGGTTAAGCCTTAAGTATATATAACAGGTATATTTCTCGTCCAGATTGTCTGAAACCTCTCGTGAACATGTCTGCCAAGGTGTATATAGCATAGTATTTTGAAAGAAAAGTAAACAAGAACTTGGATGTTGAAGTGTGCTTTTTCTTTCAACTTTTGATTTGCAGTAAAATAACTTGGTTGTTTAATTCTCAGTAATTAGTAATATTTGCCTCCACAAGTTTCGGGTATAATCATAATAAAACTTTCATTAACCAATGCATTTCAGGTCGTTGCCATGGCTGTCTTCCTGGCAGCTGCTCTTGCCCGCCCCGACCAAGATCCAGGCTACGATTATTCAGCCCCTTCATCTCCTGCAAAATACAACGTCAACTACGCCGTCAAAGATGATTATTCTAACAACGACTTCGGTCACCAGGAGGCTCGAGACGGCTATGATACGCAAGGATCTTACTACGTCCTGCTTCCCGACGGTCGTCTGCAGAAGGTCACTTACTACGTCAACGGCGATTCTGGCTTCGTGGCCGAGGTCAGCTACGAGGGAGAGGCCCAGTACCATGCTGAACAGCCTTCCTACAAGCCAACGCCTTCGTATGCCTAACCTATCACTCCTACAAGCCTACCCCTTATGAAGCGAAAGACTGTAATAATATTTATTGCGTGTATAGACTATTTATGAAATCAAAATGCATTTCTCTGAAACAGACGTTTTCCTGTCCTTTTCATTATCAGCTAAACCACGTTTGGGACATGTCACACTTCCACTGATTCAAACCAATTCATTATCAGAAATAATTAATGAGATTTAATGTTTTCTGATAAGTAAATCCTTTCTAATACCTAAACTTTGAAGTCTCATTCACATTATTTTATAAGATTAAAATAAGAATTATACAATATATTGTTAGCCAGCATTACACACATACTTGCATATATGTATATATATGTGTGTGTTTGTATGTGTATGTTTATGTGTTTTTGAGTGCGTTTGTAAACAAACACACACACGGACATACATTATGTATACATACATACATACACACAGACCCACACATATATATCCAAGCACACACACGTACGCACGCACACACACACACACAAACACACACAAAAACGCACGCACACACACTTTCACACATATATGCATCCATATATTTATATACATATATGTGTTTTGGGGGGTGAGTGAGGACAGAAGGATGAGTATGGTTTTATTGACAAGACAGACAAGAGGTATTTAATCAAAGAGAAGTGAAACAAGTAAACTCTAGCGTCCATTTACATTGCCATAGATAGAACTTTATATTGTGCCAAAGGAATAAAGGAAATATCAAAGTCATATCCTTATAAAAACATTGAAACTGATACATACACCCTAGAATTTCAGAAGCATATCATTCCTTATTAAGAAACGGGTGTATAAATAGATGAAAGTATGTATGTGTATGATATCACGTTACCATTAGATATTGACTTCATAATATTGAGATAAATCTTTTGTATTTTGTATACACAGTATACACGTGTTATGAGAATTGTAATTACCCTACGCTTTAGAGTTAAGAATGTGTGAATATGACTTGTCTTGGATAAAAGTGCTATCAAATTCATTGCTTTGAATTGCAATTTATATCAAATTGACAAATACTGACAAACCATCGCTGTTCGCTCACCTACGAAAAAATTTTTTATGTATGTATATAGGTATATACAAATATATATACATGTGAAGATAAATGTGCTCATATATGTATATGCTTACATTATCCTGTGTAAATGTGTGTGCCTATATATATCGTTACACACACACATATATACATATATATATACATACATACACACACACATAACACACACACACCACACACACACACACACACACACACACACACACACACACACACACACATACTATATATATATATATATATATATAAGTCTATGTGTGTATACATAGATACTTATACACACACACCACACACACACACACACACACACACACACACACACACACACACACGTATATATATATATATATATATATATATATATATATATATATATGTATATATATATATATATATATATATATATATATATATATATATATATATATATATATATATATATATATATATATATATATATATATATATATATATATATATATATATATATATATATATATATATATATATATATATATATATATATATATATATATATATATATATATATATATATATATATATATATATATATATATATATATATATATATATATATATATATATATATATATATATATATATAAACACACACCTTTCTCTATATATGCATATAAATATACATATCTCTCTTTATATAAATCTCTCACACACACACATGTATATGTGGTCATACATCTATACTTATATATACATACCTGCATGAATATATGTATATGTGTGCACACTATATATATATGTGTATACACACATATATACATATATATGTATGTATGCACACACGCACACACATATATGTATGTATGTATGTATGTATATACACACACAAACGCACGCGCAAACACACATAAAATAAATGTATGTTTTATATTTAAGTATGCATATAGGCGTTTACTGTATATTATAAAACCATACTGATTGAAATACACCCACACATATATATGGTCAAGTACTTATACTATATATATATATATATATATAATATATATATATATATATATATATATATATATATATATATATATATATATATATATATAGATGTATGTATATATAATATATATATATATATATATATATATATATATATATATATATATATATATATATATATATATATATATGTATATATATATGCAACACAGCGTTATTTAAAGATCGAATACGTACATCATATGATAAACATTGGTTACACATCAAAAACGTTCTGAAATTATTACTCTTGGAAGACTAAATCTGTCACATCATCTTTCATAAACTTTCATGGCTATGGTAGATCTTTGCTGACAAGGAATAAAGTACACTTTCTGGCAACCTTTAAGTGAAATCGAAATTTTCCGATTTTTTTTCGAACCATTATTACTAAAAGTGAAAATGACTGACACTAATTACATTCAAGCGCGTCCTTCAAGCCTTTTACAGTATATATAGCAGGTGGTCCTCTCGGTCTACATCACTTCTACCTCACAATCAACATGCTTACCAAGGTGAAGTATATCTTCCTCCCTGGACGAGAAAAATGAAATACCAATGGGAAATATTTGTTATACGTGCATTGTATATCCATTCACATGAATAGTATTTGGATTTTACTTAAGCTATACAATGAGGCAATATATATCTTTGATATGTTTCAGTTCATCTTTGCTTTCGCCTTCGTGGCCATGGCCCTCGCCCGCCCTGAGGAGACCCCAGGCTATGATTACTCAGCGCCTTCCTCACCCGGCAAGTACGACTTCAACTATGCTGTCAAGGACGACTACTCTAACAACAACTACGGTCACCAGGAGGATCGCGATGGCTATGGTGCCCAGGGTTCCTACTACGTCCTCCTTCCCGACGGTCGTCTGCAGAAGGTCACCTACTCCGTCAACGGCGACTCTGGCTTCGTGGCCGAGGTCAGCTACGAGGGAGAGGCCCAGTACCCTGCCGAACATCCTTCCTACAAGCCGACCCCTTCCTATGCCTAACCGATCATTCCTGCAAGACTATCCCTTATGAAACGATTGACAGGTTACAATACTATTTATTGCTTGCATGATTTATCTATAACTCTATATCAATAATGCAATATCATGAAACAGACTTTTCTTATCAGCCCTAGTTATCTCGTAACTTATGAGACGTGTTTAATCAAAGAATTATAAATTCAATTTTCAACATTTCAACTCGTAACTATCGTTCCTTTTTTTCCTGTGGTTTGATAGATCAGTGCTGGCATATCAGCATGGAAATCGTGCTGGACCATGGTTAGTGTTACAAGGGACATCCAGCCTGCACTGGCGACAAGAATGATATGATAATAATGATAATCA